ATATAAACAGACTTCAACTCGATCGAAAAAAAACTTCAACGACTTATGTATTAAGTCTTTTCACAATTTTTGTAAAAACAAAAAAAAAAAAAAAAACAAAATGTCTTTAGATTTTCAAAATTACGACAGAATGACACCTCGAACAATCATTTTCGCTCGCCCACCGATAAAGGTGCCATCACCTTTCGAATTTAATATTTCCGAATTTTTACCGAGAAAAAGTATTGGATGCAAAACTTCGAATGCATTCATGATATACCGAAAAGTTTATGTTAAAACGTTATTACGACAAGAGCTTCATTCCAAGATGACGGAAGCATCATGTTGGGCAGCAGAATCTTGGAATGAAGAATCGATCGAAGTGAAGAACGATTTTAAACGATTTGCGAAAAAACTAAAAGAAATTTATCGACATAAATCTAAAGAAGCTCTTGAAACACAAAAATTACAAACGACACAATTTTCGAATGAATCTTTAATAGACGATAATGAAGTAGATTTAATGACAGACAAATCGATACCTGTGGCAAATCTGATTGATCCTAACGAATATGTTAATACCGAAAACATTTATCAAGTAACGCAAAATAATCAATTAACCGATTTTACCATGATAGATTATGAACCTCAAGATCTTTCTAACCAAATACAAATTTCTCGCGATTGTATTATGATACCTCAAAACATAAATCTATATGATATAAATATGAATTCAAATACAAACACAAACGAATATGAATATTATGATTATTACGATGATGATTGTTTTGATGAATGGATGTCACCATACGAAGATGAAGTATCACCTCGACTTCCGTCAATTTTTGGGACTGAATATTAAATATGTAAAATAAATTAAAATTAAATAGAGACCAAAAATATGATTAAATGTATAATAATATGTATAAATATATGAATTGGTATATAGCAAAAAGAGGAAAGATAAAATTAAAAATCGAACATTAAAATTCCTCCTTGCTGTGTACCAATTCATATAATCAAATGTATTGATAAAATAATATATTGATGAAATAAACAGGGTTCTTAATTGAGCTAAGACGCGTTAAACACTAAATAAATGCGTTCGTCTCACATAAAATTACATTTATATCATACATATAATCGGTTATTTATTTCCGATTGACTAATCTACAACCAATCAAGTTTTTAGGAATTAATTAGCTGTCAGTGTTACAATAAACCTTATCGTTATCTTTTATCATTACTTTTATTGTTAATGCATTACCATGGATTTTAAAAAAGCCGGTTTTTTTTTTTTTTTGAGATTACAGTTTCACAATTACATTTCGAAATAAATTAAGTATATATGATGTAAGTTGAAACGGAAACGGAAATTCCTTAATAAAATTATATAACGATAATAACATAATATAAACCTATATCATAACTCTAAAATCCCAGAAAATTTAAATTCCGACTCACTTATATGCGACTGTACGTACAAGTTTTTTTTTTATTCAAAAAATTCGTTATTATTCATCAAAGTTAGAATTTAATATAGGAAAATATTTACAATTAAGTAAATTAAATATAACAAATAAACGCGTACTGCGCAGATCAAAGACTTCTTTGTCCAGAAATCTGCACATTTTTATACGTTAATTTCGGTGCATAATTTCAAGTAAAATAAATTGTATAGGTATGTCGGACTATGAATAATATAGCAATGATTAATTTTATTCTTTGCGATTAAAGGTTTAATTAAATATTTAAGCCGCACAAGTTAGCTGAATTCTTCCTAACTGCGGATTCACAAATAAACCGCAGAATCAATCTTGACCTACATACGCATATTGCATACTTGTACGTACGTACGTACGTGTAGGTAGTAGGTGTATACAAATAATTGATCATGCACAATTAAATACAATAACCGATATATATCAGAATATGTAATATTTTATATTGAAACGATAAAAACTATTTAATTAAACTTTATTGCATATTTATAGCTTCAACGTTAAGGAATAAAAACGCATGTACTAAGTATATTTTGTTATTGCTATCACTAATTACCATTATTATTACTAGAGTCAACAATTCACAAAGTTCAAAAGGTAATTCAAAATATATAAAAATTAATTATAAAAGAGTGAAGAATGAAGAGGTGATAAACAAGAACCAGATGTTCGGGTATCTCGTTTATCATCAGTTTTACAATCAAGATAATCATCAAATTCATCTTCAGAACCGAAAACATTTTCGATTACTTTGGGACTTAATTTGTAATGTTTGGTCCAAGATTTGTATGTTTTGATTATTGAATTGACACATTTTTCACCACAGAAAAGTTTCTTAGGAATGGGTATTCTAGTACCATCCTTCTTGTAAACGTATTTGAAATCAAAGGAGAAACTGGGTTTCGGATCTTCATCGGTAGCTTTCTTGGCATATTCCAAGATGTTCTCGGTAGTTTTAACCATGCAAAATTCTATTTAATTAAAAGAAATATAAAGGGTTAATTCATTAATAATTGCTACGGCTGATGCGAGATAATATGTGTAAACGAGATTATTTACCATCGGAATCTGAAGACTTATGACAATAAGCATAGTTTGTGGGGATTCCAAAATAATAACTAAATAAAGTACCAAAGACCAAAATCATATTTCTATCCATTTTTCTAGGATCACTGTTCCAATCTACTTTATGATTCAATTCATCAGCACAAACATCTTCAATTTTTGTCCAATATTTTTCAGCGGTGTGAGGATCACAATTGAA